ATAAAACAGACACATAGAAAGTTGCAAGTTTATTTATATATATATATATATATATATATATATATATATATATATATATATATATATATATATATATATATATATATATATATATATATATATATATATATATATATATGCAAGCAGAGGTCTACCTTTACAAAGACTTGTGTTGCCCGAGCAAGGGCATTATTTGCAAGCTCCATGCTTCCACTTGCTTCCATGCATAGGACATAACGGGTCCAAAACTCCGGATAGTTGGCACAAGCAATCAGACATCTTTCATACAACTTAACAACCTGAAATAGCATATATGTAAGATATGAACAAGAAAGGAGAACCTTATTTCAACATTCAAGAAAGAAAGCATGATCACAACAAAGAGAAGAAGTACTCCATTAGCTGATCAGGGAGGCCCCTCTTGAAAGAGGGACCAACCTTGCCTGACAGATAGATGGTTAGGGGGTAAGCAAATAGCAAAGACCTGCATATATGAGATTCAAATTTCAAAAACAGATATTTATGCAACACTTGATGAACCCAGAATGTCAACTGACAAATAAGAGTTCAAAGTACTTAGCCTCATAGAAACCAAACAACATGCCACGCTTTATCCTCAGTTCAATACCCCATTTTTAAAAGGTAGCTTCATCGAACATAGTAGCCAATAAAGCATACAATGCAGCCAATATGACTGAACTGTAAGTTCATAGTCATTCCAAAAAGAACTGGAAGAATAAAAAACTTTGAAGCAATAGATCAGATAAAAGAAACAAAATTAACTATGTACCTTGTTGAAATCATCCCCTCTCTCAATAAAGTCAAGATAGTTGTGCCAGTTTTCAAGCTCTACATCATCAAGAGGCCTGACATGGAAGTATGGCCTTCTAATAGCTGTTTCAAAACCAATGATCTTAGAATCGAACTCTTTAGCTTTCTTATACATCTCTTCCCTAATTGCAATATACTTCTCCAACTCCTCTGCTTCTGTTAAACCTGCACTTACGGGTTTAGAAGATTGTTCTACCCCATCATCACGAACTTCATCCTCAAGAGCATGTCCACCAGTCTCCAAAGTGGAAGACACCACAGCAGCTTCCTCTGCAGTTCGTATCTCTGATAAAGGCCGACTGGCTGCCAACTCCTTAAAGCTGAATGTAAAGTTTCAACAATTCACAAATTTAGAAGGCCATATCAGAGCAATATCATAATAATAAATTAATAGCATGGATGTCATCACTAGGTCCTTCAAAACCTGATTCCCTAAAGATCTATCAACATAACATACCACTGTACAGTCAATGTCATGATACACAAACGCCATGTGTTACAAGTGTTAAATAAATATACAATATAAAATTAAGAGATGGTACTCATTTGACCGATATGAGACTGATCATGATGATGAAGCATATGATCTTGTTGTGTCAACTTTTCCAGTCTATATTGACAGTATAGAGATAAGCACTACAAGTCTACAACAATGCAAGCAAGATCACGTTGGACAAAACTCTTACAGTACAGCACTATAGGGTCATAGGCATCCTAACAAAAAAAATCAAACAAAAAGTCACCAAAAATTACCAGTTAAAATAGCGATCTAATTGCTGAATGGGATTTTCCAGAATCCTTGTATATATCATGGCTAGATTACTCCAGGCCTGATGTGATTCTTCATATCTGATGTATTCATCCCATAGCTGGTATGACTGATAATCTGTCCCAACATATGCCAGTCCTCGCTCAAACAGCCTAAAAGACAAGCAGAGAGGTTAGTGCTTGAATCAGTATGCAAAACTAGTGGTTCTGAACCATAGTTGAAAAGGAAAATAACTCTCTTTTTGGAAGGGGTAATGCAGAGATGAGACTCTGGAAATTGGCACAAATGCATTGCATTTACCTTCCAGAAACAACCGTATACCATCCTGGGCATGGAGGAAAGTGTAGCGGTCATCTTAGCCCATAACTGAGTGTCATCTTCAGAGCAGCAATTTTGACTAATGTTGCACCCATGATAGCCTCAAAAATGAAGGTTTACGTAGCAGTAATTCATGAACTACCCTATCTACTATATGAACCTTTTAAAAAAAAGAAGGGTAGGAACAGAATGAAAATTAAGAAGCAAGAATATAGTTTAAAAAATATATATCTCAAGTGGTCAAACTCAAACAAAGAGCTAGCACAATAGAAAGCATTTCTATGGTGCATCCTTCAGCAAACCTTCCCTCCAAGGCAAGATTGTTCATGCATGCAGAATAAGGTTAGAGGATACAGCTACACTCACTAAAAACCAAAAACAACAAAAGATTATTACTGAATATTTCTATAGCAAACGAATCTTATGACAGTTACCTTCGTATAATATCCGGATCTTCATATGTTGAAATTGCAAAAACTGCATAATGCAACCAAATTTCTACTGAGTAGGTCACTGCAAGAACAGCCCGTTCATAAACCTCCACAACCTTGTCAACACTGTCCAAACGTCCCTCATGATCTGCATATTTCTTCCAGTAGCCATAACATAGAGGAAATTCAGCCAAGAATGCATCATATACTTTCCGAATTTTGACAATGTTGTTCTGCAAATAACATGTAAGAATAGGCATATCAGTTAAAATGAAAACTGTAAGGCATATATCTCATCCAATATGATTACATTGAATTGACATAGAACAAGTGCAGTATGGTCTCTATGGAACTAGGTCTTCATAAATGAGTTAATAGTGGGTGACTCATTTACTGAAATTCTGATCACAGACCTGTCTATGAGATTATAATGTGTTGTAAAAATGGAAGTCAGTAAAGCATGTTATCCTAAAACTCAAGTAATATTGGATTAATAAGAGAAGGATTGAGAAGATCTAAAATTAGAGTCATCAAGAGAAATTTAGAGAATGACTTTAGATTAAGTAGGACAAAAATTGAATACAGTATATGTTACATTAGAACACAAAAGAGAGGAATTAACTGAACTACCTTAAATAGAGATCAAAGAGGGGTTGGTATAAAAATAATAAGAATGTTTTTGGTGGCCCTTGAATCTGCCATGCATTAACCTCATTATCCTAAAAAACATGTCAAAGGCACTTAAAGCCCAATGGAGGGAATAATCCATAAAGGGATCCCAATTAGTTCCAATAAATGGCTTATTTTTTACACTACCTCTATGGATTTTAATTTTTTTCTTTTCCTCTAGACAACAAGAAATAAATTTCGAACATAATTGTACATTACCTTTCAACCCACATCTGAAAAAAGAGACTAGTAATTATCGTGCACTGCAAATGCAAGGAAAATACACATGCAAATTTGAAAGGCAAGCAAATAGGTCTTTGGTCTTCCGTATCAGCATGTCCAAAGTCCAAAAGCAATCACCATAATATGAAAAATTTTAAAATCAATTAATTTTCACAAAAAGGACCAGGTAAAGAATAGGAAAAAAAAGAATAATAGTGCGATCAATTTCCATCCAACAAAATGACGCTTAGTACAATCTCTTACTTTTCTGGGGCTACAAGAGCAAATAAGAGGTTAACTTACAAAACCAATCAAAGCTATTACCAGAAGCAATAAAATGACAACTTGAAAGATAGCACAGTCAACGATAAGTTATATAACATATTATTCCTAATATATCAAAACCTTAGAGCTCAAGAGGTGCATAAAGAGAGAAAAGGAAGAAGAAATTAGATAAATCAGACCATTAGAAGAATACATAAATATGAGTACCATGGTCAAGAAAAATCAACTTTCCACTCAAAAACTGATGCAAAACTAAGATAAAGCAATAACCTTTCTTAAAGTCGCTAGACACACCCAACCTTCACCATAAACATAGGCCACAAACACTCTTCAACTAATCCAGATGATATCCAATTCTACATCAAATGCCCTCTCATTTAAGTGCAATATTAGCTATGAACTGTACAAACAAAATTCAAATTTCCAATAAAACTAATATTAATTTGTGAAAAAATCCATGAGGCAACACAACCTCAAAATAAGCTTAAAATTCAAAAAGACTCAATACTAGAAGAGCTAGTAGTCATTGACACAAATAACAACCACATTTACAGATTCAACATGTGGCTCTATCTTATCAGTCTGAATCTTAGCTTCCCACTCAGTTGCCCTATTTAGGTCCATAAATTAGAGAATCTCAGCATAATTATAATGTTACGTTGGCTATTTATGATTCTCAACAAAGGACTATTAGTTCCTGCTACATGTTTTATCTGTTGCTGTCTGTACCATGGGAACACTGTTTTATTGGTTATCCAATTAAGAATGAGTATATGGCTACATGTTTTATTGCAGTATCTAACAAATTATAGACATCACTTATCTAAAATGAGTCCAAGAAATACTAAATGAACTAGCTCCAGTCAAGTGCATATTTAACAACAGAAGCATTTTCAGATAACAGAAGAACCACATACTTCAGCGACTTTCTCCGTTTCCTCAATAAGTGCTGTCCAAGAATTGAAGTCTAAGCAATTTGCTCTAACCATATTCCACAACCTATCTTCCTCAGCGGAATACACTGCTGTAACAGGAAAAGGTATAATAAGTTAAATTTTACACTAGATGCAACAAGATAGAAAAGTTAATCAAAAAGGACACCAGTGCAACAACAACAAAAATCTACAAAGTACATTCAAGAAAATGAAAATTTAATCATCAAAATGTAGAAAGGCTCAGTACCATCCTCATATGCTTGCTGAACAATGGCTCCACTGGTGTCAGTAGGCAAGCTTCCGTTCTCCATAGCTCCAGTAGATTGGTAATTTGCCATTTCACTAATACTTCCATTAGCAGTATCATACCCAACCACCTGTGTCGAGATACCAGCCATATTTTCATGACTAACTGTTGCAGCACTAGCATTGGGTTCATATACCACACCAGTTGTAGCTTCTTGTGAAACTGGATTTAAATCATGAGAGTAGGTATTCCCATCATCAGTACCAGAACCATCTAGTGAAGAATGAGCTGTAGCACCAGATGATACAGAATGAACAAGGTTGCCATCACTCATAACACTGTCGGAATTGGTTGCCATGTTCTCAGCAGGAACATGATCTGAAGAAGTATATTCAGTGACAACGGATGCTTGATAGAGTAAGGGTTGACTGCCTTCCATCCTACACTGCCAGCTAGCCTATCTAGCTATCAAAGACAAGTCAGTGACACATGAATGCAAAGTGCACGACAAATACTCGGTATTAGATGTTGGAGAATGTAAACAGAAAAGGGACAATAAATTGACTTAATCCATCACTACTATAGAAAAATAATGCAGATCAAAGACAGATTCTAGGCAAATTAAGTAATGCATCAAGACTAAAATTAGATATACAATCCATCTTAATGGAAACAAAAAAAATAATGGCATCACACGTTTTAACACAAAAAAAAGTCGTTCAAGATGCACCAATAATGACTATACTTTGGCAAAATATCAGATGTCCTGTTTTACTTAGCAAAAAATACAATATCGTAGCTATATTAGAATCAAATTATACCGGCTTACAATCCTTCAAACGAAAAGCAACAAGCCAAGAAACCAAGACTACATATAAGGTGAGATATAAAGCGAAAACCTAGCAGCATCCATTTGTTACTCGTTTGCGGTGTTTCCACACACAAGGGAATTGGTGCACATAAGCGCAATTAAGAGAAATAAGATGATCGCGAAGAGTTAAAGCCAAATATAGGTAACACCGACAATGATCTTGCAAAGACGATGGATTCTTTATGCCATACATCCAAGTATTATGTAAATCCTGACAATTTTTCCTAACTACTAAGGATTGCATGATGTTAACTTAAAAGAATCACAGATTTAACCCCAAACAAAGAAAAAGTGATAAATGAAGCCAGAGCCTTTCGATATAAATCTCAAACCTACAACATAAATAGGGCTAACCAAGACATTCGCAACAACTGGAACATATCCAGAAGACAGAACCCTAACCCTAGCCTAGCGAAGACATTTGTCGAGAGAGGTAGTACCTGCAGAAGAAACTAGGGTTTGACGAGTTCGATGTCACGGCGAGACACAGAGGCGCAGCAGCAGCGGCGACACGGCAGCTGCAGCGGCGACAACGAGACAACAGCGCAGCCGAGCGCGCGAGCGGGGGCAGAAGCAGAGCAGACCAGTAATCGGTGAGAAGCCAATCGCGATGGATCACAAGGCTTGCCGCATTAGGGCTTCCGTATATATAGACATATGCACGCGTCACTAACGAACAGATCCGCACGCGCATCGCACGTGCCTAGTGATAAATTGCTGCTTGAACCCAACCTGACCCACGGTCAAGATTTCTCGCGGCGTATGCAGCCCAATGAACAACGGATCGGGTCGGATTGGATTACAACAAACTAGATCCAATTAATTATACCTGTATTAATACTAAATTGATATATGTGATCGGGTTAACATTGTTGGTCTATATAATAATGTTCATCGTACAATTAGCCTAGTTTGGTTCATGACGATCGGAAAGATAAAAGAAAATAAAATGCGTGAATATGTATGTATTCATCCATGGTTGTTGCATAAAACATGTTAATCTGAAGATATATATATATATATATATATATATATATATATATATATATATATATATATATATATATATATATATATTTCAATTCCAAAAGGGGTCTTCGATCGTACCGTTAAAACTTAACTACGAATTTAATTGTATGTGGATATCTTTGCTTGGAACAGAATAGGAATGAATCAATATATGCTCAAATGATAAATCGAGGTTATGCACGGAAAAAAAAATAAACTAATAACTAATTTGAAAAACCAACTCGTGAGGTTGAAAGTAGACACCAACTTAGCTATTGGTCACAGTCGAACTGAAATGAAAAAAATGGATATTAAAATTAAATATTTTATATGACCAATAAGTATGTTTCCATAATGACAGTGTACATAATAGTGGCTTCTCCAGACATGGAATGCTTTAGAAGGATCCAGCCCGATACGAGTCACGTGACACTTGAAATGAGCAGTCTTGTATGAACTCCCCGGTCGAATCTCGCAATAAGGTGAATTACACACAAATTCCAAACACGTGAGGATTTGGAAAAGCAAACCAAATTAACCATCACCTTCGAATGATGACAAAAACTGTGCTAACAGATGTATGCGCAATACCAATTAAACCTTAGAGTAAGATCGATGCTTTCGAAATTTTTAAAGTAGCCAAGATGTAATGCACGACTAATTATAGATTGGCTAACGTGGTTAGATTTGTTTAGTATTATTGTTTGAAATTTTTATAATTATTAAAATAAAATATTTAATCTCATTTACTATATCATCAGTTTTATCGATAAAAGATACAACACATATATCAGTGACATAAAAAGTATGACCAAAAAAATAATTTCAATAATGATGATGGACGATAACACCGTTGGTGGTTATTATAATGGTGGTTGATTAGAACGATATAATGGTCCATGTTATCGATGTTAATCATAACATCGATGACGAGGAAGAAGAGGGAGGCAGAGTGATGAGGTATTTACATCGGCGTCACGGTGCTTTACCTCCTCTTCTTCCTATGCATCTATATTAATGCTGGAGGAGGAAGAGGAGGTAGGTGAGGCATTTGGGTCGCCGACGATGAGAAGAGAGGAGGAAGAAGAGGCAAGTGAAGCTGAGTGATGCAACATAAATACCTCAATTGCCTCCTTTTCCTCTTCTGATACCACATTGTTTTACCTCACTTGTATTTTCTTTCTCCTCCGATGCCGACACAAATACAGAGCAATGCCAGAAGAGGAAGAAGAGACAAAGCGATGTGACACCAACGTAAATGCTTTACTTGCCTTCTCTTGCTCTTCTAACACCGATGCAAATGCAGAGCAATATTAGAGGAGAAAGAGAAGGTAGAGCAGTGCGATGCGATGTAAATGCATCACCTCCCTCTTATTGATCATTCGACACTAACGCAAATACCTCACCACTCTACCTCTTCCTCGTCAATATTCAGATCAATATCGACAAAGTCGACCATTGCATCGTTCTCATCGATCATCACCATAACTGTCACCCATGATATCATCGTCCACCACAATCGATGAAATTATCTTTTTGTTCATCATATTTGTGTCATTCATGTACATACTATCACATACTGTAATTTTCACCAATAAAACTAACAATAAAATAGAGTTAAATATTTTATTTTCATAACTATAAGGTTCTTAATATAAATATTTTAAGAATAAAGATCGAAATACTAAAGAAGCCTAATTATAATGGATAATCTATAATTAAATCTGTATCAAACCAATAAATAGTAGAATCATACGAACCAAATAGGTGGATTTAAACAAGCTCCCAGATCGAGTCACCTAAAATATGTTATTTGGGTTCAAATAAAGTATTTCAATCCCATTAAACACTTATAAATTCATTAATTGCTCATATTAAAAATTTAGATTCTTTTTCTATAAATAGCAAGTGGTGATGATAAAATTTAATATTTAAATCTTATTATTAAAGTCAAAGCATTCATGCATATTGGCATGGCTTGCGGGTTGACCAATATTTTAGTAATAAGTGACTATCAATCGAGCAGTAAGATTGACACTTTTGACTGCGAAGCAAAATGAATATCAATCCTCAATAAATAAATCATATAATTAGATTCATAATTATGCATTCGATTCTTAAAAACATAAATTAATCCCTATGGTTCTCCACCATATTATTAGAGGCCTAAGTCCGTTACCATGAAAAAGATATGCCACTTATCAATCACCCAAATTACTCATCTTAATATAGCTTTTATAAGACTAGACATCATGTGCATTTATTAAATCCTTTTTGTTCATTTAAGCACCGATTGATGTTTGTCGAACATTTTCTCGATATAATTTTTCAAATATTCTAAAAAAAAAAATCACAATCATTTTCTAAATCGGATAATCAGATATCTCTAAATTTGATTTTTTTTAAATATATGATTTGACTATTATTACATAAATGGGAAAATAAAATCAACGTGACAGCAATATCAATGGCGTGATTCAAAATAAGATCGGTTGCGATTCCAAGATCTGCATCCTGTGAATGACGAATGACCTGAATCCGATCCGAACGATGGGTTTCTGATGATCCCCTTGCACAGTTGTCCTTCCTCGATTATTTCGTCCCTTTTCCAAACGATTGTATTGTTCTGGCCGTTCGCAGCTTGGAGGAGCAAACTTTGCAGGATATACTGCCGATGCTCCGTCGAATCATCGCTCAGGTAGTTTCTGACTTCACATAAATCATTATTTGGGTCCAATCCGATGAGATATCTCACCGGGAGGTGTTTCACGGATCAATGGTAAAGATCCTTCGGCCTCGAGCGCTCCAGGAAAATCGCGTTCAGGTCGCTCCGCTCGTGACTAGCGAAGCAAACTGAAGGGCCGACGAAGATATTAGAATGAAACCAGAAAGGGTGGCCGGAGAAGATCCCGGAGACGAATCCGAATCTTTCACCGCATTTTCCTGGGTACTTCTATCGAATTTGAACCCGGGTTTCACCCTTTTGACGATCGACCCGAAGAGAGCGGTCGATTCTTGTTCTCTCTTTCTTCGATTCGGGGGCTCATTCGGAGGGTAAGGACGTGGATATCGATACCCTTCGCATGGGCGATGAGGGCGAAAATGGCGTCGTTTTATCAGGGTCACGTTAATGCGACTCAGGTAACCTAATCGAATGCCTCGAAAGAATTTACTCAATTTAGTCTTTTATTTTTTTTGCACCCAATAAGTAATTTGTGAAAATGTTGTGAGTGTTAGCTGTTTGCTGTGTTCTCGATGATACTTTTTGATATCCGGTGATAACGTCAGTTAGGGACGTACTTTGTGTGTCAGTACTATCAGATTCATCAACAGCGATCGGAGTTAGTCGATCAGTTCTACACGAATTTTAGTTCCACGGTGCGATGTGATGGGCGACGGAGTCTGCTCAAGGGACGATGGTAAATTAAATTTAAACTTGAATTTCCTCTGTGGCTAGATTGGATTTTTTTTTCCCTTTATTTGGTATATTTGATGGCTACAATAGCTTATGTGGGCGGTTTTCTGTTCAGTAGCCTTAGGAAAAAGGGAAAAGAACAATGTATATTCCTACTTCATCTTAATTGTTGGTTGCTGATTATTCCCCGTATTATCTCAATGTTAAGGACATATGCAATTCTTGTAATCTTATTTTGTTTACATGTGTGCTTGTGTGTTTTTCATTTTTCTCTAAAAGCAAAATGGTGGAACCTTATTGATTTGTTAACAGTTACTCGAGATATATGTGGCAAATGTTGCAATTGAAAGGTATCATCCCCATAATTTAAGACAAATACAAGACTAGTGGTAGTTTTTGTTAGATTAGTGCTCTTGTGGAAAACTAGGAACAAAATACCACAATGCACTAACCAACTACTAAGTATATGATCAATTTATATCTTAATTTTTCAAGATATTAGTGATCTCTAATATTGTATTGTTTTTTTGCAAGTTGGTTATTGTTTTGCTTGGTTAGCAAAATAAAAACATAAATCTTTTGTCAATTTCCTTTGGAAGTAATTTATGAAGTACAATCTTAAAATTCTTGATCTACTTTCGAACAAAAGGCTCTTATAACAGTTTTGCTAACTTGAAGAACTGTTGGGCCTTTACAGTGAAGCCTTTTTATTGTCGGAATTCTTTTGATTTAAATAAGGTCATTTAGATCTTGGCTAAGTTCTAAGTAGATATTTGTTATATTTGTTCAATCGATTGTCTTGCCGGACAACTAAGAATTTATGGAGGTAGCTAGGAAATTAATATAGTTTGGCAAGAAGTCTCCTTAACATATATGTATGCTATCTTTAATGACTCTCCCTAATTTTATTCTTTACTAAATATTGTATTATAGGACACTGTGGACGACCATATGACAAATATCATTAGTAATATTTTTTTTCATGAAACAAGAGCTTGTCTTCTCCATTCTCTTGATTGGTTTTCAAATTAGCTAAGCTAATGGCAGATGCAGTGGCTAACCAGCAATTTTGGTGCATGGCACAATACTCCTGGCAGTTCAATTGTTTGGTTGTGGTTTATCACCATTTAGCTATGTGTTGCCTCCATTGTGGTGGATATAAGGTTCATTGTAACTTTGTTATGAAACTAAAGATATCCATGGTTTGTGCAGCTAGCTTTAGGTTAAGGCAAATATGGATAGGGTCCTAGACTTAGGGTTAGATGTAGCTAAACTCCAGATACTTTTATCAGATTGTTAACTTTTGTTCAAGAGAGCTGGATAAGATTTCATAGACATGCAAATAGAATGTGAAATTACAGTCTTTATATGTGATTCTTTTGCAACGTTTTAAAATGCAGTTATTTCACTTACATATGAATGTGCAGTCATAAATCTATACAACCTCAGTAAACAATGTTATCATCCATGTGGAATATATCATACATATGAATATGTATACAATAAAAAAGTGATTGCATAAAGTAATTTACATTTCCTTATTATTTATGCTTCAATTATTACCATAATCTTGATACTATTAGATATGGTCCACTATGGCATTCATTACTTGAACATTTTCTCATTTTATAGAACTTATCACTTAAATTAATTTTTTAAACAGATATTAATCTCATCTTATAAATGATTGATTTGGTCTTAACATTCATATACCTATTAGTAATTTTGACTTGATTGTATAATATTAATGCTTGATTAATATTATTTTGAATAATTTTGGTTGAATCTGTATGTGCTTTCATATGCTTCCATGTATTGTTTGTGCAGTAAGCAGTACCTTGACCCTGTGTGACACGGCTGCTCTTTAAATTATTGACTCTTTGTGATGATGATATATATATATATATATATATATATATATATATATATATATATATATATATATATATATATATATATATAT